GGGGGGGGAGGTCACAAGACGTCAATACGGGAGGCCACAAAACGAAACAGCACACATAAGAAAGCAAAAAAGATTCACGTTAGCTTCATGAGCGACATGTCACGTGCTAAGCAAACAAAAGGCCCACAGACGCACGACTAAGCCGCTGCGCTTCATATTCAGATGCGAAATGTTAAGCACCTTCGTCGGCCGAAGCTAGCAATTAGCACAGTTAGCTCCCATTTTCAGACTTTACTGCGACACGTAGACGAATTGACTGCAACACAGACAACAAGCGTTCGTTAAGACGCAGCGTGGCGTCAAAACGATCGGGATTGGACTCAAGACGCGCGACCCGAGCCGACCGAGATTTCCGATGACAACTCACCTGAGCGAGGTTTCAGTCCAAACGGGGCGCCGGACAGAGTGGGAAGTCTGCCCGGGGAACGGTTCGGTCGCTACGGGGAAACAAAGGTTGACTTGAAAAAAAAAAGTTGGGAGGGGGGGCGGGGGGATACACACTGACACCAAAACAAGGCGGCACGCGCACTCGACAAAGCGCCTATTCACCCACGTCATCCTTCATAAATAAGACTCAAGTGGTGCATGCGTGCGTGCGTACCTGAGGTGCGGTGACGTCGTCATCGTCGTCGCTGTCTTGCCCGCTGCGGGACACAAAAAAGTCTCGTAGGTGGCGGTACGTGCGATTCAAAGACGAGTTTGGTTCACAAAAACAAAGCTCGTTTTTGGCGCTTGTGCCACAGACACGCTCCACCCTCTCGTCGAGAGCCCGCTCACCAACAAAAGTGCCACGTTAGGCCACAAAAGGCTCATGCTGGTGCGTAAAAAAATGTCAGTCATTCCCTCAAAAATCTCTGGACAGAAATGTTCTACATGCAGCCAAAACACGAAATCCACATTTTGATCTTCGACTTCCCAACTGTGCTGATCTCGACGCCAAAGCGCCGGCAACTGGCGTCTGTCGCTCGTCGCGGCGCTTCGCCGAGCAGAAAAGCACAGAAAAGGCGGCCGAGACCCCGTTGAAGACATACTGGAGGAATGTTTAGCTGGGTGGCGGTTGAGTGATGCCGAGCTGACGGCGTGAGACGGCCGAGGCCACCAAACACACACACACACACACGCACTTACTTGACGGCCAGCTCCACCGGGACCATTTCCACGGGGTACAGTCGCACGCCGCACATGTCCTCCTGCTCCAAATGGATTCTGAAAGCGCAGGCGCGGGACACCTCGAGAAAGGACTCGGGGACGCAAAAGACAAAAGACCGAAGGCGGCGCCGACCTGCCGGGATCCCGCAGGAGCTCCGCGGCCTCCTTCAGCTGGTCGATCGCGTCCAAGCGCGGCCCGCCGTCGTCGCCCGTCACCCTTGACCTGCGGCCGGCGCAAAGACGGGCGGCGATGAGCACACGTTTCACATTCGTGACCGCCTATTCGGCAAAGTCTTCATACCGCATTTTGTCGTCATCGTTCATGGGAAAGGAGAAGAGGAAGAATCTCAATCCGAACATTGATATCAAGGCAGGGGGGATTACTCGAAGCCAGACAAGCTTTTTTTTTTCCCTCACGTACAGTAAAAACGGAAGGATGAAAGGGCCAAACCCATTAAAAATTTTAAATCTCATTCACTAAATGTTAAAATATGGAGAAATAATTCAATAATTCAAGCTTGGTCAAATATATCTCTTTGAATATGAAAGATGCCAATAAGAATGCGATCATTACAATTTTCAGAGTCCCCATGACGGGATTTGGTGTTTCTTTGTTTGTTTTTTAAAACAAATCTCCAAATGAAGCCGCACGGTTAAAGACTTTGGCGATCAAGCAGCATTTGCCTCGTGAGCCTTAAAGGTCCGGGAAAGCAAGTTTCTCACTCTGTTGTCCAGCGCGCGTCTTCGTCGATCCTCAACGGCTCGTCCAAGTCCGCCGCCGTCGTCGTCGTCGTCCGGCCCTGAAAGCCGAACGCGCGCCGCCGATGTCAGGCAGATTCATCGACGTTACATTTGCTCACAAAGAGGCGACGGTCAGTGGGCCGACAGAATGTCGCTCGCTCAAAAAAACAAGCAAAAAGCCCCGGGTACCGAAGGAATGCAAAATGTTGCCATGAAAAGCGATTTGTGGACAAAAAGGCGAGGCTAATGTCGGGCTGTGGCCCCCAAAAGACAATTCTAAATAAAAAAAAAGGGGTGTTTGTTGGCAAACAGGCTACAGGAGGCAACCGCAGTTGTTGTCGGGGCCTTAATTCCACCCCGCCGTTGCCTTTCTATGAACGACGGTGAACCGCCGGACAACGTTTGCGCTTGGAGCCGGCCTGTTTTCCGCAACCAACGGCACCTTTGACTTTCTTGGCCAAACGTGACATTTGCAAGCCGATTGGTGCCTTTGAAGGGCAAAGCGAAAGAGTCGTCGGGAAAATTAGCCGGGGGTGGAACTCCGTCGCTGTGCCGTTTTGCTTGAGGGGCAAGATTTTCAGACGGGGCGTGGCAACATGTGGAAGGAAGCCTTTGCTGAGTCCGTTTCAATGGCAACATTTTCTACTTTGGTGGCTTGGACCGCCCAAATGTTTAGTCCACGCTTTTTTTTTTTTTTGCAGAAGCCTGAAAAAGAAGAGGTGACGTTTACGAGGCCGACTGGCTTTCCCTTTCTTGGGCGGCGGACTCGCCTTGCCGTAGCCCACGAAGCCGACGGCGGCGGGGTCTCTGTGGCCCGGCCGCTCCCTCGGCGCCTCGCCGGGGCTCTCCTCCATCCGCCGCGCCGCCTCCGAGCCGGGATCTGCGCGGGAGGCAAGAGACGAGCTCGACGTTGCGCCAAAGCCAACGACTGACTGAGGCCCGATTGGCGCCATTTCCCACTTTTTGGGCTTGCGTGTGAAAGAAGAGACAAACACCCCCCCAACCCCCCACCCCTCGCTGATCTGCAATCAACGTGCGCTTTTGTCGGCCATGCTGACAATCGCACGTCCTTGGCATCCGTTTTCCTGTTGCGGCGGCGCCCCCCTCGTCGGCCATGCCAACAATTGCACGTCCTTGGCATCCGTTTTCCTGTTGCGGCGGCGCTGACCCGCTTCGGGCTAATTGAAGCCTATTTCGGCGGCGCGTCAAGGGGGTGCGCCTACCCGTCGGGGAGCCGATGCGTTCGCCGGAGTCGTCTTTGGCGAGGCCGTCCTCCTCCGTGATGTGACTCATGGGCGCGTTGAGACTCAAACTGTCTTCGTCCGACGGCTGCCGACACACGTAAACACGCGCGCGTCAAAAAGGGGACGGAGGCAACGGGCTGAGTGAGGGCTGCTCGTCAGAGTGGGAGAGATTCTGCCTGCGCTTACGTGCTGTCAATCAAAACGAAATAGTGACAAACACATGAATGGTGTTCAAGTCAGCACTTTTTGTTTTTCTTTGTTTTGCATTGAAATAACGCTGCGCGTAAGGAGACTTGGAGTCGTTCCTCTTTGACCGCTTCGGACGACGAGACGTACCGAAGGTTGCGCCGCTTGGAATATTGTCCACGTTGGATGTCGCGGCTGTTCCGGAAAGCGCTTTGAGGCGCCTGCATCAATACGGATGCATCGGATCCGATCATTCTTGTCTTTTTGTTTGACTCATTTTCATGAGGAAAAAATAAAATACGGTCTCCCTCCCCGGATGAGAGCAACGCTTGGAACTCGTAAGCGCCACCGTCCGTCACGTATCTCGCCACGTACGCCGCGTACCTCCGTTGCCGAGAGCCTCTTCTCTCCGATGTCGCTGCCGACTCCCGAGTCGCTGTCCCGCTTCCTCTGCTGCTCCGTCATGTCGTCCACGCTGCGTGCGCGTGCGCACACACACACACACACACACACACACACACACACACACACACACACACACACACACACACACACACACACACACACACACACACACACGAGCGAGCGCATGAACCACATTTTGCTCTCTCGCTCGCTTCGCTCTGAGCCCAATCGGGAATGGATTTTTTTTTTTGGAGCTCATTTTAATTCATGGTTCTGATCTCAAATTCATCGATGAGCAAAATGTATTTGAAATCAAAAGGTCATATTTTGTACTTTTTAGTTACTGTTGAAATGGAATGTTGAGTCGCGCCTGAGCCCGCCCGCACACAACACGGTGATTGGCTGATGGGACAAACAGCCGCGGCGTAGCATCGACGACTGGTGAGGACGACTTACTCCGTGTCAGATTTGTTGTGCAGAAGTATCGGCGGTTGGTCTCAGCAGCCTTCGCGAGCGGCCGATCGCTCAAAATAGCAACTCCGGGGGGGTCACGCTCTCGCCCCGACCCGATGGTGTTTTTCATGTCACATCATTACCAGCACTGCGTTTGTTCTGCCGGTTACGGTGAGGCATTTGTTTTGAGGAGGGTGTTCATTTTGGGTAAGGCGAGGCATCTCTTTGAGGAAGGCGTTCAATATTTGAGGGGGCATTTCTTCGTGTTTTCTCACATTTCTGACACAGCGGCTGTCCACGAGCATCGACGATAGCCGCTGATAACCGAGAGTATCGGCTCACAGCGAGCGGTTGTAATCGAGGTCCGGCGCCGATAAAAGGAACGCTCATTCTTGGGAGGCGCGTTGCCGTTGTCATTCGGCTCCCGGCACGCAACTCACCGCATCAAACTGAGGCGCTCCATGGCGGGCAGGTAGAGGGCGTCGGCCAACTTGTCGCCGCGAGACGCCTCCATGCTGAGATACTTGAAGATGTGAACTTTGCCCTTCAGACAGATCTGAGGGGGAAAGGAAAGAACGCGATTTAGTCCCGAGAGAACATTCGGGTGTCCATAGAAGGACCTGGTCCCAACGGAAGGGGTAAAATCATGCTCTGGTAACGGGAGGAGGCTGTCCTTCCGAGAGAAAGTTCTAGTCCCAGGAGACAAGACTCGAGTTCTGAGAGACGGTTGGCGTTTCCAGTGAATGGGCTCGTCCCAATTAAAAAAAAAAAAGCGTCTTAGTCCCAAGGCAAGCTTCAAAGCCGGCGGAAGGGGCTCGTCCCGAGAGAAGCCTCTAGTACAGAGAGGGAAGGTTCTTGTCGCAAGCCCCGAGTTCAAAGTCCCAAAATAACAAGGCTGGAGCCGGGCGAAGGGCTGGAGTCCTGAGATCCCAACCCGGAGAGCCGGTCTCAAAGCTATTTGGAGATATGGCTCCAACATCACACACACACACACACACACACACACACACACACACACACACACACACACACACACACAAAAAAAGAAGAAACAAAGCGCTGACAAAAGTTTGCCGAGGCGGGCGGCGGTACCTGTGCAGGCGGGCTCTGCAGCGGGTTGTTCTCCAGGCGCAGGGCCTGCAGCTGCGCCATCCTCCGGTAGCCCAGCGGAATGGTGGACACCTTGTTGCACGAGAAGTCCAACTTGACCAAAGGAAGGTCGGCCAGGTCTGCGCGAGGGCCACAGCGGCAGCGTTAGCCTCGGCGCGGCTTGGCCAAGCAAAACTTACAACGCCGTCGTGTCGCGACGTGATGTTAACAGCAACCGTTAGCATTCGATCCGCTAATCATTTGAAATAGTCGCCGACTAAAGAGCACAAAAGAACTTGCTCTCTGTCAGCATCGTGCGATTGTTAGGACGACGGACGTGTTGTGTGGCGGGCCAACCTTCCGGAAGGACGCACAGCAGGTTCCGACGTACGTTGAGCTCCCGTAGCGCCCGCAGTCGTCCGATGTGTCGCGGTAGGGTCGTGAGCTCGTTACAGCTGATGTCCTGCAGGGGGAGACAAAAGCAGACTGGGAATGCTGTTCTGGTTTGTTTGTTTTTTACCAGGGCGGGGCAGTCACCAGCTCCATGAGGCGGCGGAGTTGTCCGACGCTCTCGGGCAGGCTGACCAGTTTGTTGTTGCTGGCGTTGAGGACGCGCAGCGGCAGGGTGCACAAGCAGGCCGGTAACGAGCTCAGCTGGTTGCGACTGACGGGACAAAACAAATTGGCGCCATCACCGATGCGGACATTTGCACGGGAGGTGACATCTCGGCAGGTCATTCGTACGTCCTTACGCCCGCAAGCCCGCTTTTACGAGACGGATAAAAATGGATCCACTCAAATTAGAATCCGGCGCGCTTCCAAATCGCTGGACAGTAGGATTGATTGCAAGACGCTATTCAATCCAATTCAGGCCTTTGGTATATTGTTTGCCAAATCGCTAACAATCGTCGTCTTTTTGGTTGTTTGTTTTACAAAAACGACATCGGCAAATACGCCGTTCGACTCGAGACCAACGATCCGCTTTCATTCAGATCGGCTCCGCCGTCACCCCGGTGAGCCCGCCGAACAAGCCGTTTTGCGTACCTGAGGTTGAGCGAGGTGAGCGAGTGCAGGCTGATGACGGCGTCCGGGATGCTCCTGATGCAGTTGTGGTACAAGTTGAGGCTCTCCAAGGCCACCAGGTGGCACACTTCCGAGGGCACGTCCGACAGACGGTTCTTGGACAAATCTGAAACCAACCACAAAGCCCTTTTGAGTCAAACAATAACTTTTGAGTCCACTTTCCTCTTTTGGTCGATTCGGCGCTGACGTCGATTGTTGCCCGACTTCACGGATCACTTCAAGCGCTCTCAAACGGCGGCGGGCTGTTTTGAAAACGGCCGGCAGTGAACGTGTTCATTGCCGTGGATGCGGCGAGCACTACTTTTGCCTAAATGAAGCTCCTCTACCCACTTCAACGGCGTTCCTTGGCACCAAGGTGTCGCGAGACGCATGCCTTGCTCTGGCCTGAGCTCAACGAGTGCGCACTGTTTTGGGCGACACACGTGGCAGAAGCGTTCGCGTTTTCAATTCTGCAAAGGTCGGCACGTATGGGCTGGGTGTAAAACCCGCCTTAGTGTGCGTGCGTGTGTGTGTGTGTGTGTGTGTGTGTGTGTGTGTGTGTGTGTGGCAGCTGCATCCTGAGGAAAAAGGCAAGACTCCTCCCTATAATAACAGACTCCAGCAAACAACATGCTGTCGTTCGTCATCACTGCCATCCTTCTCCTCCTCAAAAGAAAATGGCAGATTTTGCTTTGGGAAGATTTACTTACAGGGAACTGCTGCACCCCCCCCCCTCGGTTATTTTGGTGTGAAATGTAACTTGCAGATTTGGTGCTAGCCAACCTTTGGGGTTATTGTTTTGTTTTGTTTTTTAATGACAGTCAACGTTGTTCTCTATGGACACTCATTCACGTGAAGACCGCGACCCTTTCCACGATCTCCCACAATCACGTGGTTTCCATGCAGTGCTCCCATTTTGACAGTGGCTATAAAATTCCGTCCCAAACTTCCTTCCCGATACGGTTCCAGCAGAGGGCCCCGTCCCGGTTTCCCCTTGGTCCAAAATAGGAAACAAATGGACACACGCGTACACGCACCCAAACATCTGCATCTGTAGTTTCTTAACGCGCGGTAACGTTTGAAGGCCCCAGCGGGGGCATCACGTGAGCCGGCGGCGGTGAGCGCCGGCCGCTACGTCGTCAGCATCGACGACAGGCCAAGTGTCGTCCTCCCGCGGTCACATGAGCCCCCCCCCTCCCCCAAAAAAGACACATAAAACAACACCATGGCCCAACGCGAGAGTGTTTTTGCACGAGAGCAGACTGGGTGCGTGAGCCAGAGAGAGAGTGGGTCCGCTCGGATGAGTGCCGGTGAAAATGTGTGTCAGCACCAGTGTGTGTGTGTGTGTGTGTGTGTGTGTGTGCGTGTGTGTGTGTGTGTGGGCACAGATTCGCATATTTGCGCTTTGTCCAATTTCTAAACATAGACCAGCGAGCGTCATGAAGTCAAAATGTGTGATGCATGCACATTGGGATGGAGTCTTTGACTCTGGCGATGACGTAACGCTGCGTCATCAAAGACATCCGCGTGCGCGGCGTCCGTCTTGCCCGTGAAAACAAACGGGTTGCCTCGAAACATGTCGTGTGTTCATATGGCAGCAAACCATCCGGTGTGAAGATTGCAATGAGCATGTCGGGGGGGGGGGGGGGGGGGGGGGGGGTCTTTTGCCGTTCTCAAGATGAGAACAACAATGCACGTGGAGCTTGTCCGGTTGCTGTCAAGACCGCCGGGTGTGGTAATTGAGGACATGAGGTTACGATTGGGGTCTTTGATGCTTTCGGGAGGAGTTACAAGGCATCGTTGACCTTTTCATACATGTGTGTATGTTGGCTTGTGGGGGAACCCAATGTGACATTGGAGGTTCCTTACGCGGTCAATGAAGTTGACAATGCCTAAATCAAGGATTTCTTATCGGTGGCGCTCAGCAAGGCCAAAGCCTCCTTGGTGGCCCGTCGTCATTCCTCCTCCGTCCCACTTTGGCCTGCCAGCCGGGAAAAAGTAGGACGAGGAGAAAAGAGAGCGAGAGGAAGATCGGTGGCGGTCGCTATGGCTTTGTTCTCATTTTTTTTTTTTTTTTTTTTTTTTTGCGGGGGGGCTGGGGTGGGGAGAACGGCGGTCTAGTTGGCATCGTTAGCTTGCCGGAGTCTGAAAGGGACACGCTGCACAAACCAGGATGAGGCGTGAAAAAGACCAGACAGAAATGAACAGGATTAAGGATCAAACGGGGGCCTCAAACGGGCAACCCAACTAATGTGTCAAACACACACACACACACACACACACACACACACACACACACACACACACACACACACACACACACACTTTGCTGAAGGCTAAGTAAAATGTGGGTCAGTGGGGTGGGGGCGGGGCGGGGGGGTGTCATGTATGTAGCGCTCCCGTGCTATGGTAGCTCAGCAAAACAACCACTCCACTAAATGCATATCACTGTCCAATGCGGGTGTAATCACACCGACGAATACTCCAAAAGTGTTTTGGGAAGCTTGTTGAACATCGCACCCTGAAATTCGCTCTATCACGAGCAGACTCCCCAAAAAAGTGCCAAGCGGCCGTGCCTGAAAAGACGGACACAAAAGGTCAGCAATTTTTGGGTTAATCTGGTTGTTTGCAAGGGTCCGTCAAAAGCAACCGTTGGAAATTCAGCCAAAAAGGGGAAATTTGCAACACTTGTCTATTAGGAGGAGACCCACCAAAAAGTCTCGAGAAGCCACGCATGAAAGGACATAGCAAGTCTGCTTCGTGGGTGGCGTTTGGCTCTTTCGACTCTCTTGACAAGCCAGCCCTAGAGAGCAGTTTTATCGAGCAAGCACCAATTTGGTCGACGCATCCGGCATGATCAGACCCACAAAACATCTCAAGAAGTCACGCTTGGAAAAACAGAGGGAGTCTGCCATTTTGGGGTCAATTGGGCCATTTGCAGAGGTCATTCAAAAGTACAATTTGGAAGGAGATTTTGTCCGACGAACTGCTACTAAATGTGACGCATCTCAGCCAGATGGACATCCCCAGAAAAATGTGCGGGATTTGAGCCCCCTCCCCCCTTCCCCCCACCATTCATTTCTTCTTCATTTGAGGAGCATTTTGGCTTTCCCGGGGTCCATCAAAGACTAACTGCACCAAGTGCCAGACGCAACTAGGTCAAAAGTTGGACTGCCACAGAAAAAGATTCTCGTCAACACCTTTGATTTGATTGGACCGAAAGCCAATCGTGCATGCGTGTGTGTGGCTGTGTGTGAGAGCGTGATAATGCTCATTTATGTACGCTACCGTGAGCTTCTCTGTAGATTGCCATAAGCCTAAAGACATACGCCATGAGAGTCTAACTGTGTGTGTGTGTGTGAGAGGGTGTGTGTGCGTATGCGCGCAGTTGATTTTGGCCTACATTTGGTGAGTGGAGAGACTGCTCCAGTTTATTTATTGAAAAGGATTTGGTGTCTGTCAAATTGGGAGACGCCGCAGAGTCGCAGACAATGTGGTCTTTTAGGCGCGGACGTCGTCTTTCAGTCTCGCACGTGAAATCCGCAAGCCAAGCCAGCGTCGGTTTCCGTTCGGATGCTCCGATGGGATGCAAAACATCCCAAAATAGATCGCACTGGGCTCTCGCATCGGCAGTGTGCAATTCATTTTGCGATTTTTTTTTTTCCCCCTGGCTTTTGTTGAGCTCCCCGAGTTGCATGAGGCATTTCTGGGCCACAGAAGCACTTGGAAACATACCAAGTCTCCAAATATCACCGGAACCCTCGCGATATCTCATGCAGGCAATCTTGAAGCTATTTTTGCCATCAAATATTGAAATAAGTCACCTCTAGAGATCGATCGATACATGGATAGACAGATGCTCAGTGATCAACAGTGATGTCATTTTAAGTGGACGGCAAGTGGAAAAGTGTGTGTGTGTGGGGGGGGCAGGCCCCTGCGAGGGGATAAAGGGGGTGGAGTTTGCTGCTGAACTCATGTTTCACAAAAACAAAATAAGCAAAAATGGTCTCTGGCACCCTACTATTAATTACATGGAAAATTGGTTTTCAGCATTTGTTTCAAATAAATGACAGATCTTTTAAATAACTTACTTGAGGTTTAAAATCATGAAAATGACTGCATATTTGATCATTTTAATCAGGGCTGAAGTTGATTAAGCAATTCAGGCAAAAAAAAAAAGTGCAAATTTTTCGGGCAGATTTTATGGATTTTTGGAACGTTACGAATGCAATTAAATGGATTCTGTCTCCAATTTATTAAGGCTGTACCTCAAACCCTGAGCACCACCACATCCCTGACGACTGATAAGGAAATGCTTCTATTTTTTTTGGTGCTGAACCGCGTCAAAGGGCAGATGTTGTGTTCCAAGCGCGCTGCACTCGAGCACCAGCTGCTTCCAAAGCTTCCAGAGGAGGAAAGGATGCCTTCCAGAAAACAATGAGCTGGGGTGCGGCCACTTCCCGTCGCTTTGGGGTTAGCTTACTGCAGCCGAGCAAGCTAGCTAGCCGGCTACCTGCTAGCGTGTTTCCCCATTCAAACGTTTCCTCCTCAGACCGGTTGCCAGCGGGTTCACGCCAATCATAGGGGGTGAAGGGGGTTCAGGAGCCACGACCACAAATGTCAAAAATGAGCACACGTGCTAATGTTAGCTTAGGTTATTGCGGTTTCTTATCTCAGAACGCTACATCATTACACCCCAGAGTCTCTGCTTTGCTGCAATATCATGAACCGCTGTCCGCTTCCCTCCTCGTGCTCCACAGTCTCCAAAACCATTTAGCATCATCCCACTCCAGTCTCCACTTTCTGCAGCAATAAACTCAACAAAGTGTACTTTGCGACTATGACGGCCCGCAGTCTCCCTTTCCTGCAATGTTACACTCCACTGTCCTCTTTCAGTCAACTTGCGCCACAGTCTCTCCTGGGCTACATTTTTACAGTCCAGTCTCTACTACTCCACAGCGTGGGTCTGTTCTAAAAATAGCTCGGCATTGATGGGACCATGTGAATCCTTTTGAAAATCAAGTGCATCAAAACATTCAATTGCATTTAGGCAAACGTGTTATTTAGAAGCAGGGCGGCGTGGGGGGTCGACGGGCCAATTATACGCCCTGGACATTCAATGAGGGGGGAGGGGGGGTGGCGGCCACATTGACAGGCCCCATCCCACCCCAGCAAATGTTTTGTTTTGCTTGTCTACCTGCGCACATATTGGCTCTTTGCGTGAGATGAAGGGGCACGACTTCTGATCTCCGGGGGGGGGCTCCAAATATCATCCAAGCCCCGGCACCCCAAATTTGTTTGGACAAAGGGGCATCGAGCTCGAAAAAGTTCAGCCCTCATCCACTGTCGACAAACTCTTTTTCGGGGCATTAAAAAACAGAGTTGACCCCAAGCATCAACCGAGCTTGGCACGCCACTGCGGCCCAAACCCCACAGCTGTCCATTCTTGCTGAGCACTGATCCACAGCGTGCACTTGACTGGACGCAAAAGTTGCCAACTCGGGTGGGCGGCAAAGTGCGCGTGAGCCTGACGCGCCTTTATGACGACACAGACCTCCCGGGGTGACGGCCGGCGCGCGCGCCCCAGTGGACGTTGACAAGCCTCCGCCGATTCACAGGCAGGAAGCGCCGGGGGAATTCGACGGGAACCCACACATCACTGACAACACCCCCCGCCCCTCGCCCTTCGCCACCCACACCCACGCCCACGCCCGCGCCCGCACGCTTACCTGCCTCCACCGTGTCGCTCAGGTCGAGTCCGGCGGCCGTCCGCGGGAACTCCTTGAGTTTCCTGGCGCTGAGGTTCAACGCGCCGCTGAAAGTCGCCTCCTCCAGCGCTCGCTCCAAGCCGCGGCTGTTGGGCAGCG